AACATCATCGCTTTCTTAAAATCACATAAAGCCATATTATAACATCGACTGAGATAAAGAATAAAATGAAATATTAAAATCACGATGTATCTCGCTGCATTGCGCGAGTACCCTTCTAGTATATATATATATATAACTTGGGATCACGTGAGACCCGTGACACCACTTTATTTACACTTGAAACTTCACAACAAACGCTGTGAAAGTAATCTTCATAGTGTTTTTCCTGTGAAGGTTCAACTTTTTTTTTACCTTCACAGTGTTTTATTGTGAAGTTTCAAGTGTAAAAAAAACGGTCTTACGGATCTTACAAAAACAAATTGGTCTCACGTGAACCCAACCCTATATACATACATACACACACACATATATACACACAGACACACATACATACAATACATACACACGTACATACAATACATACACACATACATACATATGAAGTTTCAAATACAAACCCTTTAATTTGTACAAAACATACAAACCAATAAAATAAGACATTTATGAAAACTATGAGACTTATTTATTATGATCTATATATTTATGAAAGATTATTATAGTTAATTTCATTATAATTAACACTTTATATTAGATAACAATCAAAATATTTAAAAATTCAGATATTCACTACACCAAATATATCTTTGAAATTGGTTTGTATGATCTGTAACCATTGAAAATTCTGTATTTGAAATAATTGGCATCTTTTGACAAGTACCAATTGATATTACACTCTTGGTCCAATAGTACCACAAATCTAACATCTATATTAAAGTGATTTATATAAAGTAAGAAACAAGGTTTTAATGACAAGATTTCAAATAATTTTATCCCTTTTTTGATTTATTTTTAATATAAAATCAATATATTATTTATTAGACTTTTTTTATTAACCTGGATATCCAACCCGCTATGCGAGCAAACTAATTGCAGAGCGACTATCCGTTTTGCTGGTAGTCTGGAGTCACCGCATTTGAACCTCCGTGGTTACAAGGGGACTATTTTATTCTTCCTAGGATTCAAACTTGCGACCTTCATGCACTTTTGACATTTGAAACCAAACTTAAATCTTTTATTTTCTTGCATTTTTAATTTAATTCTAGTTTTTTATAGATGAAATTAAATTCAATAAATGCATAAATCTACATGTATTTATATTTAGTATGATAAAACATATTTTTGAGATAAAACGTTTTTTTATAAATTGTTTTAACTTAGGGATTGTTTGTTTACCCCTTAATAGTTCTATTAAGAGACAATTTCTGAATCGTTAAGAGGTGAATCTTGTTTAGCAAAAAAAAAAAATTATGTCTCTTAATGCTTCCAAAACCCTCTGAACGATTTTGTATCCTTAACCTCCCTTAACCATTCAGCGTTTTAATTTCATTGTAAACAATTATCAAACAATTATATTTCATTGTGCATTATATCATGAGTGTCTCTTAATCATTCTGACCACTTAATCATTTTACACCAAACCATTCAACAACTGCGAAAACAACCTCTTATTTGCGATGATATAATAAATATAATTAATAAGATTATTTATAAAAGAGGGAGGGGAAATTTTGAAAATCCTGTTACCCACCCAAAGATTTTAATAGCCACCGATAGAGATGGTCCAAAACTTGTTTTGTGTTGGATCGATCGGGTTAAATCGGTCCTGGCCCTAATCTTTTTCGAATCCGGCATAACCGGTCCAAACCTGGTCCCGACTAGAAACCCATGGTCAGTCTTCTTTAGCCATAATCGGTCCCGGTCTCGGGCGGAGCCCAAATCAATCCCAAGTTTTTTTTTGAACGGACCCATTTTGGCCGCTCCAAATTAAGTTGTGGTTGTATTAATGTTCTGTATAACTTTAATCTATTTACATATATTTATTTATCTCTAGCAAAAAGAGAATATATTAATGTTAAGAAAATCGAATGTAACATTAAATTTATAATTTAATAACTAAATAAATAAATAATATCAACTCGATAACTATTTCTCAAACTCAACTTAAAAACTCATGAGTAGTAAAAATTAAAGCTCGATTCGAACTCGATAACTATTTCTCAAGCTCGAACTCGAACTCGAAACAAACTTGAAGTGCAACTCAAATCAAGCTTGAACTCAAACTCAAATTTGAATCAAGCTTGAACCAAGTTCACCCATTGAAATTTATGAAATTTTAGGGTATTTCTCTTAATAAATTTTAAAACTTAAAAGTGTTCTTTTAATTTTTATAAGACTAAAACGATCAACTTAAATTTCATCATCAAAAAACTAAAATTAGAAATTTCATTCACCTCTATCTATTTTTATAACATCTTTTTTCTCTTCCTTTGTCATCTATCTTCTAATGTGGGACAATTTCATTAACCATTTTATAGTTTTTTTTTGTCCTTTTTTAATTGTGATTTTAATAAAAAAAATAATTGATTAATTTTTATAATTAAAAAAGCATAATTTTGTTTGAATATCAAAAAATATAAGACATTTTTATTATTTATATTTTATAAATTTTATCTTAAAAATTGATTATATTTTAAAGCTAATTATATATAAAATAATCGAGTATCTCACGAACTTTCCGAGTCGAGTATTAGGTAGCTTGACTCAACTCGTTAATATGTCGAGCCGAGCTCGAGTTCGAGCCAAACCTATTCGAGTCGAGTATTGACCGAGCTTTGACCAAGTCGATCTCGAGTAGCTCGCGAGTTGTCTTGTACCATTTACACCCATACTAAAAATTAAAGATTTGATAAAATGGTTAATAGCCATTTCATAAAAAAGTTAATGATTGGAGCAATAATTTAACATCCAAAAGCCTTTTTTTTGGGGGGGGGGGGGGGGTGTCAAGTATTTGAAGACTCATGTACATGTATTAAAAATACAAAATAAACTTTTGAAAGACTTGACTATTAAAATAAGTATTTCAAGATGTCTTTTCAATTAAGAGGTTGTTTGTTTAGCTCTTAATAGTTTTATTAAGAGGCAACCTTTGAATCATTAAGAGATGAATTTTATATCACAAATTTTTTTTTTTGTCTTTTAATGATTCAAAAACTCTGAATGATTTTGTATCTTGAACGTCTCTTAATCATTCAGCACTATAATTTGATTCTGAATAATTACCATACGATTGTATTTCATTTTGTATTATATTATAAGAGTTTCTTAATCATTTTAATTATTTAATCATTTTATATTAAATCATTTAACAACTTCCAAACAGCTTCTTAGTGAAAATCTGATATGATAAATAGTGTTTGAAAATTCAGGACATTTTACATTTATCCGGATGTATAAATTAAAAATTAAAAATCTGGAGACGAAGTTTGGAGGGGAGGGGGTTTAGTACGAATAAAAGTACTCTCGGGAGTTATCTTCTTCCTAATCGGCTCTTACTTTTTCAGTCCTCCATCTTTTTTGAGGTAAAACTCTCTCCTTATTTACCCATTTCTTCAAATTTTATTACTACATCGCTTGTCTAGTTTCGTTTGAATTAGGAAATTCGTGTGAGAAACTGCTTGAATTTGAATATTATGTTGTTTAGGGTATTTTTCATGTATTTTGTTTCGATTTTTTTCTATTTTCGAGGCTTAGATGTGAGTTTTAACTAGTAATTTTGGTTAATTAGACGTAATTCATTCAGATGTTTGATTTAGGGTTCTTAGGATTGTTCATTGTTTACAGATACCGCCAAATCATAGTTAGATCTGTTCATATAAGCAGATCCGTTGACTGTTACGATACCTGATTCAACCTAATATGACCTCAATTCGTCAAGGATAACCTTTTATTTGTCACATTAATGGAAGGTTTGTTGTGAAGTGACTTTTTGTTAGTTTTTTTTATATATATTATTGACTATAATTATTTATTAATGTTGAAAAAATGCAAATGGGTTCTTGTATAAGTACAAAAGGTACAAAAAGTGGGTTCAAATCCCTCTCTTTCTATACCTTCACCTAATTCGTTATCCTCTTTGGGTTATTGTATAACAATCTTGGGTTCTTATAAGAACTACCCTTGTGGACTTTTAGGAGAGTTTTTAATTTAATGAGTTGGAGATGAGTCTGGACTTTTAGGAGAGTTTTTAATTTGACGAGTTGGAGATGAGTGTGGACTTTTAAGGAGAATTTTTAATTTGATGAGTTGTAGATGAGTGTGGACTTTTAGGAGAGTTTTCAATTTGATGACTTGGAGATGAGGTGGCAACAAAAAGTGCAAAAGGGAGATTCTTATAAGAACCTCCATTGGAGATGCTCATAAGAGCCCACTCTTTGTACTTTTGTTGCCACGTCAATTCCAATTCATCAAACTAAGAACTCATAGAAAAGTCCGTAATGGTAGTTCTTATAAGAACCTTTTTATGGATCTCATGTATTTTTTTCAACATAAGTAATTATTATATATTTATAAATAAATATGGAATATTTAATTTGCAATATATAATATTTCTTTTTGCAAATTGTCACTTCACACCAATTTCAAGTAAGAACCAAGTTTCTTGTTAAGAACTTAAAAGGGTGAGTTTCTTATAAGAACTCTCCACAATGTTGGTTCTTGTAAGAAGCTATATTCTTTACTTATAAGAACCTTGTATTGGAGATGCTCTATAAGAGTTCGATCTCTTTAAACTGCTTATGTAGGTGCAATAATGGCGGGAAAAGGTGGGAAGGGCCTATTGGCTGGAAAAACAACCGCAGCTGCCGCTGCTGCAGCTAATAAGGACAAAGATAAGAAGAGGCCGATTTCCCGGTCTTCTCGAGCCGGTCTCCAGGTATGATGGAGTAAAAAATACATACTGATTTGCATACAACATGTTTTGTTTTGTTTTGTTTGTATGATCAAATAGGTATCCTAACAATCACAGGATCTGCTTAAATGAACAGATCTAACTAGAATTGCCGGTATCTGAAAATAATGAGCAAGTCTAAGAACCCTAAATCAAACATCTGATTGAAATTACGTCTAATTAACTGAAAATACCAGTTAAATTCACATCTAAGCCTTGAAGATTAAAAAAAAAATCAAAAACTGGTAGCATGAACATTCTGGAAAGAGGATGTGTTTGAAAAGATAGAATCAGTAAATATTGTTGGTGATTTTACTGTCCTCAAAAGCCTCCGAGTTTGCATTAGAAACTTCTGATTGATAAAGGTTCTGACCTCAGAGCTTCTGATCCATTTCAACCTTATCCACCAGCAGTTATAACTAGTGGACATACTCGAGTTTTCTCCCTTGAGGCGAGAGTGATTTTTGGATTATCCCAATGCTGATATCATAAAGCCTAAGGCATAAAAAGGTCAAAATATAGTATTTGGAAAGTGCAATATATATGATCGAAACCCAGATTCTCAACAAACATTTCCTGGAGTAAATTAAAAATTATGGGAAACTGTGCGGTTTATGAATCAATAATCCATGTTGTGTTTATTAATTCTGCGATCTGTATCAATTCTTTTAGAACTAACTAAAGGTTGATGATCATGTAGCACAATCTGTTGACTAGTATATCATCTGTTAATCGGGTAAATGCTCCTATACATCAAGAGTGGACATAGGAACTCGTTATAATACTCGAAGGAAATATCGATTATAAATTTGAGTCGGGATTTGTAACACTTAGGGCTCATTTGACTGTGAGGCTTAAAGAAGAGGTAGAAATATCGGTTGTAAATCTTTTGTTACTTTTTGTAGTTGGGATTCGAGTGTGGGGTTCAAACCCGGAATGTTTTTTTAGGAATTTTGAGTGTGTTTAGCTTCTAGGATTTGGAATGAAATTTAAATATTTTTTTTAAATATTTTTTTGTTTTATATGTAATTTGTTTGTTTCGGTAGGATGTGGAGGCAATGGAGAGATTAGGGGCAAACTTGATGAAAGAGGGCAGGTAGAGATACAATGGAAACAATTGAAACCCATGGGATGTGGATTTGAAACAATTGAAACCCATGGGATTTGGATTTGAAACAATTGAAACCCATGGGATTTGGGTTTGAAATGACACCCTCTCCAAGGGATTCTTAAATCCGTCAATTGTGGGATTCCAAATCCAAACTTTCCCTCAAACCGATCACAAGATTGGAATAGAATTCAATTCCAGATCCTACCAAATCCATAATTCAATTCCAAATTCTACCAAATCCCACAAACAAAGCGGGCCACTCAAAGACAAAAAGCATAGCATCCATTTTGATGGTGAGGAAATAAACTAACCAGAGACATCATGTGGTTGCACTTCCACTTTGTCTCATAACTGAACCATGATTATGTTTAATTCTGCATTGCTCCTTCTGATCTTGCTTTCTTGCCTTAGGGTGCGTTGGTACGCAGATTGAGAGCGGGACAAAAATAAGATCAGACAACATGGGACAAAAACTAATTTTAAGACAAAACTTAAGATTCTTTGTCCTACCAAAAAAGGTGGAACAACGTGGGACTATTTAATAAGATTACCATATTACCCTTTACAACAAGATTTGAAAGACTAAACCTTTTGGTGTTTACAGAATTAGTTCCATTGAACTGACTTTACATAGTTTTAGTATTGGAAAGTGTGGATTGGTAATTAATTTACTGATGATCCATTGTAATTTTTATTTTTAAAGTACAATATTCTTTTATTGTTTTTTACCCAACGGGTTTTCCAAACCCGTCGAGGATTCCTTCCCCTGAACTCGTTGAAAATGGTGTTGGGACGTGGACGGGGGATGCATTACCAGCCCAATATCCACCCTGTTTCCATCCCTATTAGTCCAAGCCACATTGAAGAAAAAACCTTGACATAAGCTTGCAATTGTTATGTGGCTTGTGTAAATCTTTGTATCACTTATGTTACTTGCTTCCTAACACACACACACACACATATATATATATATGTGTGTATAGGCGAAGTATCGTGTAAGAAGTAGAGTTAAGGTGAGAAGCGTAAGAAGGGATCTGAACCCTTGATCACCTTTAATCTCAAACCCATCCATGAATCACGTTTGATACAAGGATTGATCCGGTGCATCTCATCCTAATGTGCATTCAAGGGTGGAGATCCCTTCTTACGTTTCTCACCTTAACTCTCCTTTTTACCGGAACTCAACCCTATATATACGTGTTTGTGTGTGTGTGTGTGTGTGTGTGTATATATATATTATAGACGCATATTCATTTACATACCCAATAAATCATACAAACTTGCAAACCAGTGTTCATTGTTGTTTCACATACGAAACATGTGTGAAAATGTAGTGTTGTTTCATGTGTGGAACATTCATGACTGTTTTATGTATCGTAAAAAACAGTCCTGAACATTTCATATATGAAACAACATTGTATGAACACTGCATTTCATATAAAACAACCACTACAACAAAATTGGTTTTATAGGACGCGTAAATTGTCTAAGCATCCTAATAAAAACAAATTGTAGGACCTTAAGTTTATAGGACAAAACCAAAAAACATTCTATCTAAAAGTGTTACAATAGGTTTATAGGACGCTTTTAGGTGTTTTAACTAGTTATTTAGAACACTTTTAAAATAAAGTGTCGTATTTTAGATAGGATGTTTTATAGTTTGGCCTTATAAACTTAAGTTTTATAAAACATTCTATTAGGAGTATCCTATAAAACTAAATTTGTTGTAGTGAACACATAAAACTTGTTTGTAAGGTTGTACAAATTATTGAGTTTGTAAAAGAAGGAATGAGCAATATTTTTAACGTGCATGGACTGCTGTTACGTTTTCCTTCCTCAATCTAATTTTCCGACCTTATACAGTTTCCAGTCGGAAGAATCCATCGGCATCTGAAAACGAGGACCTCCGCCAACGGCCGGGTCGGAGCCACGGCCGCTGTTTACTCAGCCGCAATTCTCGAGTACCTAACCGCAGAGGTGCTCGAGTTGGCCGGAAACGCTAGCAAAGATTTGAAGGTGAAGAGGATCACCCCACGGCACCTGCAACTTGCGATTCGTGGTGACGAGGAGCTCGACACGCTGATCAAAGGGACGATCGCCGGAGGCGGTGTCATTCCTCACATCCACAAGTCACTCATCAACAAAACCACAAAGGAATAGATAGATTCTAGATAGGTTTCGACAACACTCTTAGTCTTGACCATTTGACTTGCCTTTGGGACTTCATCTGATCTTAGTAGTTTTATCTAATTCTTAGTTTGAAGGATTCATGTACATTTGCTACCTGCATAATATTATTACCTTGAATTTTGAAGTGCATGATATGGCAAATACTCATGTTTATTTCTTATTCTTGTTGAAGTTTGAACCATTTTGGCAGACTTGGGGCTTTTTTTGGTTAACAATGGGTGTCTGAGTCGGTTTGTGTGCACCTCGACTAATCTTAAAGGATCTGGAGAACAGCCAGGAAAATATTCAGTGGCCTTGCAAGACTAGAACCGATGACCTCTAAGGGGAATCCCCAAGTGCCCAAAGTTTATTGTCAGTTGAGCTAACCAACAAGCCTTATCCCAAAGACTCGAACCAGTGACTTGGGGGGGGGGGGGTTTGTTTTCAATTTAATGGACAGTTAGCTTAATTGGTTAAGTTATATTAACATGTTTGATTTTAACTTAATACTAAGAGATTGACTTAACATGTTATGTTAGCGCATCCTATCTTAATGCGTTAAGAGGGAGTGTTTTCCAAAATTACCATTGTCCTACAATTTTAATTAATCACATGTCTCATCAAAAAATAAATTATCTAGACAAATTAATGCCTAGCGACAACTTAAGATTCATAACTGAATAGATAAAAAATCAAAGAACCCTTTGGGTGTGTTTGTTAGTAGCTTAATGAGCTTAACGAGACTCACAACTTATTCGGTCAGCTATATGTGATTGTTTGATAATGGTTTAATGATAACAAAAGTTACTTATTCATTAACCTTCTCGGGGGAGCCTTATGCAGAGATTCAAGTTATCACTTAAAAAACACGTTCTTTTCAATCTATGAAAAAACTTTCTTATAAAAACCTTCTCAAGCTTTACAGATAGGTTAATCCATACTTATAATTTTATCCACACATGACTTAATGAAATCCAATCAAACAAGCTCTAAGATTTGTCGGTGACTTAGATACTATTAGGACATTGATTCTTGGTTTTACCAAATGTTTACCGTCAAAAGTCACCGTCTTTCACTTACCTTATCAGGTAACATTCTTGGCCATCAAAATGGATTGTTGAAAACTATCTTCTACCCGGTAAACATTTACCAGGTAAAAATTTATTATGCTTCTTACCAGATAAAATTCATAATTTTTACCATATTTATCCAGTTAGATAAATAACGTACAGTAATGTATTTTGTATGTTTAAAATGTATTTGCATAAATATGATTGCTTTTGTGGAAGTCTGTTTTGTACCATGTTCTTAGGATTGTGATTGGTTTGAAATCTGACTTTTTGCATCTTGTATTTATCTCAAGTTTTTATTGTTTAGACAAATTGTACACTGTAACTGACAGAAGGGTTGTATTTCACTTCATCCCTTATCTCTTGTACTATAATTGGTACACTAAATTTTTACAATTTTAGTCCCTATGGTTTGTTGAGATTTACATTTTTGTTTCTACAGTTTATAAATTGTGATTTTTATTCCTATAATTTACAATTTATTGTTATTTTTGTTACTAAATTAATTTCCACTTTTAAACACAAGGGACTAAAATAGAAAAGAATTGTAAATCATAGGGACTGAAACAATAATAGATTGTAAATGATAAGGATGAAAATAACAATTACAAACTATAGGGATGAAAACTACAATTTCTAAACTATGAGGACTGAAAATGTAATTTACTCTTACTATTATTAAAAAAATTATTTTTTTACAGTGATAAAACAAAGAAAAAGACAGAAAATTATAAAACTCCCATCCAATCGGTTCATGTCATAATTTCTAACGTTGTTTACCCTATTTTTCTTTATTAATTTGGGTATCTAACCTATTATGTGAGCCGATTAATCTTAAGGCAACTATTTGTTTTGTGGGTAGTTTGAAGTTACTGTATTTGAACTTCCGTAGCCATAAGAGAATTTTTATTACTCATTGGATTTGAACTTGAGATCTCTAGACACTTTTGACATTTGAGGCTTAAGCTCAAACCGATCAAACACTACCCTTATGATTAATTTTCTACCACATATAAAACGGTAATACTAAAATGGGTTTATATAGCAACACGTAATTATTAATACTAGAACCTTGCACATATAAAATGGTAATTACCTTTGTACAAATATGTGAAACTTGCACATAGAAAGGAGATTTCAACATATATAGAGGATTCTAACACACCCCTCCAACGGGGGCTAGATGGGTACGTATTGTTCCCGAGTGGCTAAACGGGTTCAAATTGTTGCAAACTCCTAGAGTGATAGACCTTGGCTCTGATATTATATGAGATATGTGGAACCACATCAGATTACATTCAAAAGAAGTCTTATGGTTACAATATATATAGAGGACTGATCAAATACAACCCATACAATCTCATTTAAAACCGTCCATTTTTTTATTTCTTTTTTGGTTATTTAATTAAGGGTAGTTCTCAACTTATCGAATGGTAACCGTTGATGAAAGTTATGGATGATTAAGATGTGGTTGTATCCGCTGTAATAATTAAAGATGTTGTATGATAAACCACCCCCCTCTCTCTCTCTTTATATATATATATATATATATATATATATATATAGGGGACTATTCAAGGGAGAACTGAGTTGTTTGTGGTAACTGTGAGAACCAATATTAACCACAAATCAATAGATAAATTAGGAAATTTATAAATTTGGTAATTTTAAATTAAAA